AAACCTGTCGAGCTCGAGCGCACTTTTTGAGTGATCAGCCGAGGATTGCTCGGTGTCGGCGTGTGCGTTATTCGAGATTGGACCAGCATGAGCGCGACCTAAACGTATATATATATATATATATATATATATATTAAAATAAGAATAAGACTAGAATTTTCATTAACATCAACTAGAATTGAAATAGTCTAATGATATTTTAATGATATGATATTTGATTGTAGATGATAAAATTGTGAAAGAATATGACTTTAAAACTCATTATCTTTCTCTCAAAGAATTATGAATTAAAGAAGAGTAGACTAGTACAAGATTATTGAAAGAAGTGATAACAAATGACAAATATAAAACCCAACATACAATACATCTAATTGATAGTTTTACAAAAGTGAGTTTCGTAATTAGTCACATAATATATGTACAAAATCAAGAAAATCATAAGTATTTCTTTGATATTTTATAACATAAAATCTCCTTTCATCAACACAAAAACATCAAAATCTTATTATGATGTCAATCGATTGAAAATTTGTATAAAAATTCATCATACAAAGATTATATAAATTCAAGATTATGGCATATAAATGTAGAAAGAATAGATAAAAATAGAAACCTCATATAAAGAATGGACCACCTTATATTTCACAATATCCAAGTAAATCGTATGGAAGACTTGAATGAGAGAACACTACTCTGAATCATAATAGACTCAATAGCCCACAATTACCATTAACTCTTGCAATTGCAAGTTGTATGCAAATATGGAAACTTAAGTTACTTTATTATATATAAAAAAAATTTAAAAAAAAAACCTTTGTTATTTTATTTAAATTTCTTAAAAACCCATTCATACCACTGTTATCCTACAAGTGACGAGTAATTAAATTGGACCGATAGGTAATCAATGGTGTAGTCGATCCAAACCTTATGTTGGATCATAAATGGCATCAGCTCAGTATGAACAAAGAGTGATCCAGCCAGTTTTGTCGGCACGCTGCCCATCATCCAATTATCTAACACCACATTTACATTGCCCCATTGAAGAATATATATATATTTTTTTATAGTTTTCAAATTGTGTAAAAAGAAATTGTTGTGTTTTTAGTATTATATATTCAGATAAATTCCCTCCCCTCTTTTTTAAAACATTCTTTTAGAGTCATGCTATTTTTCTGTACTAAACATTTTCCTTTTTTATTTCTCGTAGTGTTTTTCAACACGACAAGTAAGCCTAATCTTTCAAACAAAATATTAAAACAGAAATCACCCCTTGACAACTTTTTTTTATATACATGAATATCAACGATGAGATTTAATATTAAATTTAATTAATAGTCTGGAATTAGAATCATAAATATCTCAGAAGAAAAAAAATTGTCACAATATATTGCCTAAAAAATAAGAAAGAAAAAAACACGTGTCACTCTCCGGTTCAACGCAAGTTGACTAGTAACTAAATATTTTGAAACAAACGTAATTGAACAAGCATTATGGAGAAAAGAAAGAAAGAAACAGTAATATGATGGCACATTGGAAGAAGAAAAATAATAATGGGTTGGTATGATGGGAGAGTCAACAGTCTACTTAGACATGCGGTAAGTGCAGCACATGTTTGAAGGAAAACCAGTGATTGATCGGAGGAAGTATGCACTGCATCTTCCTACCTACCCTTTTCATTTCAACTACGTATACTTATCTCTATATATATCCACTCTCCCACACCAATTTCCAACATCCATTCCCATCATATATATCCTTTTCTTTCTAAGCTACTACTTGTGTTTCATTATATTATTTCTTTGGTGCAAGCTAGGTAGCTTAGTTTGTTGAGAGAATTAAGATGGTGAGTGTTGAAGATATCCGAAAGGCACAACGTGCAGAAGGCCCTGCCACTGTCATGGCTATTGGCACCGCCACTCCTCCCAACTGTGTCGATCAGAGTACATATCCTGATTATTATTTCCGCATCACAAACAGTGAGCACAAGACTGAGCTCAAAGAAAAGTTTAAGCGAATGTGTAAGATCATCATTTATCTCATTGTCCCACATATCATTTCATTATATCTATATCTTTATTTTAGACTACATCTAAAGTAGTGATTAATAATATTATTTTTTATTAATTTCAGGTGATAAGTCAATGATCAAGAAGCGGTACATGTACTTGAATGAAGAGATCCTGAAGGAGAATCCGAGTGTGTGTGAATACATGGCACCTTCATTGGATGCAAGGCAAGACATGGTGGTTGTGGAGGTACCAAAGTTGGGAAAAGAGGCTGCAACTAAGGCAATCAAGGAATGGGGTCAACCCAAGTCAAAGATCACTCATCTCATCTTTTGCACCACCAGTGGTGTCGACATGCCTGGTGCTGACTATCAGCTCACTAAACTCCTAGGCCTTCGTCCCTCCGTGAAACGTTACATGATGTACCAACAAGGTTGCTTTGCCGGTGGCACGGTCCTTCGTTTGGCCAAAGACTTGGCTGAAAACAACAAGGGTGCTCGTGTGCTTGTGGTTTGCTCCGAGATCACTGCAGTCACATTCCGTGGCCCAAGTGACACCCATCTTGATAGCCTTGTGGGGCAAGCCCTGTTTGGAGATGGTGCTGCTGCAGTCATTGTTGGATCAGACCCTTTGCCAGTTGAAAAGCCTTTCTTTGAGCTTGTGTGGACTGCACAAACAATCCTTCCGGATAGTGAAGGGGCTATTGATGGTCACCTTCGTGAAGTTGGACTCACATTCCATCTCCTCAAGGATGTTCCTGGACTCATCTCTAAGAACATCGAGAAGGCCTTAGTTGAAGCCTTCCAACCCTTGGGAATCTCTGATTACAACTCTATCTTTTGGATTGCACACCCTGGTGGCCCTGCAATTTTAGACCAGGTTGAGGCTAAGTTAGGCTTGAAGCCTGAAAAAATGGAAGCTACTAGACATGTGCTGAGTGAGTATGGTAACATGTCAAGTGCATGTGTTCTATTCATCTTGGATCAAATGAGGAAGAAGTCGATAGAAAATGGACTCGGCACAACTGGTGAAGGCCTTGAATGGGGTGTGCTATTTGGTTTTGGCCCTGGACTCACTGTTGAGACTGTTGTGCTCCGCAGTGTCACTGTCTAATCATACTTCGTCAAGACCACAAATTTTTTATTTATGTATTCTTGCATTTCAGTTTGAAAATTGTATTGTTTTTGCTTTGATTCCCCCTTCCTCACATGATATTTGTGTACCAGAAAATAAGAACATGTCATGTTATTAATGCAATTAAGCTGACACACAATTGATCTATACAATCGCAAATGAATTGCTTTTGTCCAATTTCATCTTCAATGAAAGAAGTCTGCAATTGAGTGTAAAATGGACTATAAAGCTGTATAAATTAGACTATAAAACTGTCCGGAACCAGGTTTATAGCCAATTGTGTTAGGAGTGTTGTGCCAATTAACATAGTCCACTTTGGCTTAAAGTTTTCCTTGTGAAGACCACAAAGCTTTATTTTTTCCTATGTTCTCTTGCGTGTTCAATTTAAATTGTATTCTTTTTGCTATGATTCCCCCTTCCTCACATGCTTTTTGTGTACCAGTAAATAAGAACATGTCAAATTATTCATGCAATTAAGTTGCGCACAATTCATGTATACAGTTGCAAAGTGAATAGCTTATGTCCATTTTCATCTTCAAGGAAAGATTCTTTGTGATTGAATACAAATTGAACTATTTGGATGTGTATGTTTTATTATTATTATTATTATTATTATTATTATTATTATTATTATTATTATTATATATATGGGAAGAGCATTGTAACTGTAATTCATGTAAAGTCCTATAGCTCTTTTTTTTTTTTGAGAAATTTGCAAAACATTGAAAATAATGACATGGAAATTCTTAACATTTAATAATTTCTAGTGAAGTGCTAAACTGTAGAACTTATGGTAAAGAGGGAAAGAGAAAAAAAAACTTGTAGTTGATTACAATGATTGCCTTTTATATGATGTAGTTGTAATGTAGAGGACAACTAAATGATGTTTCACATGCCATTATATGGTTTCCTAAAGGCGGGGTGGTGCGACTAGAAAGCTAGATGCTTATGGCTTGTATACCTTAAATATGAACCGAGAATTCTCGATTGATGCAAATGTAAAGATGGTAAATTTTATCGCGGGAGTAATTTTATACCATATGGTGGTGGTAGTTTCGAACGTATACTTACACACATAATCTTATTTTATCCGGCGTCAAATAAATAGATGAGTAGATTTAGGGGAGCTTAATTCTGAAGCCATTAAACTAGCCTTGCAATTCTGAAGCCATGGGTCCAAGATAGAGTTGTTTTATGCATAATTTAAGAGTTTCTCATTATTAAAAAAAGTATACAGTAGACCTTTAATACATGTATATGTGGTGTAAAAATATTAGTTATCATTAGGCATCAACATTTGATAATTATAAATTAATACCCAATATGATTGCAAGTGAAAGTCAAGGCAAACAGTTTAACTTGGTAACTGTAAAATAAAACAAATGTTACTCTCGTGGTTAAACAACTTGCCTAAGAGCACCTCCAATGGGAGGTGCTTAGTGTGTTGCTTATTCTTAAGCTACGGTTCTTATTAAAAACTCTCATTGGAGTCATCCTACATGGCACTTGGGTTGCTTAACAAATTTTCTGTGTTGCTTCTACAAGGTCCGTTGCTTAGCATTGAGGAGAGAAATCTGATTGGCTAAACGAAATCTACGTGGAATATGGGTCAGATTTAACCAAATAAAAAAAATTGAAAAAAACGTGTTCACCTCACCTCATCTTCGTCTCTCCGTGCCACTGCACGACGGACACCGCATAACCAGACCGGCCAGCCGGCGACCACCGCGTGCCACCGTGAGCGGCAGAACCACCGCAACCACCGTTTGCCACCGCGAGCGCCAGAACCACCACCGCAACCATCGCGTGCCAC